AACTATGATTTATACATGACACATTTTTACGCAAAACTACAAGTTGCATGTGACACTTTTTACACAAAACTATGATTTACACACGACACGTTTTTACACAAAACTGATTTACACACAACACTTTTTTACACAAAACTATGATTTATACATGACACATTTTTACGCAAAACTACAAGTTGCATGTGACACTTTTTACACAAAACTATGATTTACACATGACACTTTTACACAAAATTGTGATTTACACACGACACTTTTTTACACAAAACTATGATTTATACATAACACTTTTTTATGCAAAACTACAATTTACATGTGACACTTTTTACACAAAACTATGATTTACACATGGCACTGGTACAAAAGAAGTAGTTTAACACCTTTGCTGCTTCTACCATTCTTGTTGTTGCATCTGCTAATAATTTGGCTGCTGCTAACAAACGTCTCTGTATGTCCGAGTCCGGCTGGGATTCTGCTTCTCCCTTAATCGACTGAATAAGTTGAGCTGTTGCCTATTATTAAAATATACACTTCATATAAAGCTGGAAATATTATATCAAAAGACCGTTTCTTCTAGGACATATACATAGTAAAAACACTGATTGGTTTTTAAATAATACAAAAATTATACAGGTACCTATAAATGTTTATATTTTAAACATTAACATCACACAAAGCTATATTATTTAGTGCTATTTTGTGGATGTTTACTGACATAACTAATTATCTAAGGGAAAAATAAACTACAAAAGAAGTATGCTCTTCTGCATCCTCAAAACATTTACTGTTGTATGTTTCAGGTTTAATCCCATATACCCAAATGGAATTTGAATCAAAGAGCACAATCAGATGTAATCAATAGTGGGATGGTTTTTAGTTCTGATACACACCCTGACCAGAAGTTAATATTAATCAACAATGAAACACATGCAGTATAAAATTTATACAAGTCTTGTGCACATACTGTAATGAAGATTATCATCAAACAATGACATAAAAGCATTGTGAATAATATGTTGACCTACAAAAGTGAAATAAATAAATTATTTCTACAGTTGAAATCCAGAATCTGCAAGGTTATAGGAAAAATAAATAAGGACATAGTTTCAATGAACCTCAAAAAAAAAGAAGAGAGAGAGAGAGAGTTGATGCAGGAAATACTGTGGATTTGATTTACGTTGATTTTCAGAAAGCATTCAATAAGGTGCCTCACAAAAAACTTGCTAAAATTGAAATCTGTGGGTGTGAGGGAAATGTTATTAAACTGAATAGAAAACTGGCTGGAGAGTAGAAAGCAGAGAGTAGTAATAAATGGAGTTAGATCTGAGTGAATCACAGTTACAACCAGTGTGCCTCAAGACTCTGCTGTTTGTGATTTAGGTTAATGATATTGACTCTGGAACGATTAACAAAAGTTTGAAGTTTACAGATGACATTAAGATTTTTGGGGCAGCTAACTATACCAAAGATGCTGCAGACTTACAGGAAGATTTAAATCATTTGATGCATTGGGCCAATGTGGCAGATGATGTTTAACTATCCAAAATGTGAGGTGATATGGGAATAGATTAAATACTGTGGTTGAAGAAAAAGGCCTTGGTGTTGTGATAAAAAAATCATTTAAGTCATCTAAAGATGTATTGTAGCTAGCAATAGGGTTAATAAAATTTTGTGTAGCATCTATAGAAATATAAAATACAGGACAAGGGATATTATTGTTTCACTGTATAGACCACTTGTTAGGCCTCATTTAGAATACTGCATACAGTTTTAGGCTTCCTTCCTCAAGAAGAACATTGAATTGTTGGAGATGGTTCAGAGAAGATCCACTGGTATGATACCTGGGATGATAGGATTGTTCTAAGAGAAGAGATTAAAATATCTAAATTTATTTTCTCTAGAGATGAGAAATGTCAGAGGGGATTTGATTGAAGTGTTTAAGATTATTAAGGGTATTGATAATATAGATCCATCAAACTTTTTTGTGTTTAGCAGTAAAAACAATAGGACAAAGGGTCATAAATTCAAATTTTGGCAGTGTAGGAGTCGTCTACAGTTTAGACAGTATTACTTTTCAAACAGGGCAGTTGGCTTTTGGAATAAGCTGCCTACAAGGGTGGTGGAGACAGAAAATTTAACTGAGTTCAAGAAAAGATTGTATGAATACATGAGTAATAAGGGGTGGTTATAGTTGGGAGCTGGAAGGGACATCCTTGATGGGTTAATAAGCTCCTTTTTGTCCCTTTAAAATTTTATGAATGTAATAAGTGCAACTAATATGTAAATAAAAATTTAGACTTATCACTGATCCACTGTGGGGGAAGCTTATTAATATTAACATCTGATCAAAGCAAGCTTCTTACACATATCACAACTAAAAATTAACCTAGTAATGAGTATAGATAATGTAACATACTGTTCTTACTCACAAAGATTAGAATGCATTGTTTTATCATCAGCTGAGTAACCTGCTGTTGGCAATACTTTTGGCCATCAATTCCAATAATATTTCACAAAAACCAGCCAGCTAAGGAAATTTAGGTTACTCCTAAATTCACATACTACGCAAAAGGTGCAAATAATCTTTATAATAAAACTATATATATATTAAACATTCTAATCAATACTGTTAATGAAAGTAATATCAGAAAAATAATGGAACATGTAAACACTAGTGATTTGTTTAAAATATATTTTATATATAACAATAAACGTCAATATGCTAAAAAGTTTAAATGTCTTTCCTATCTTATAGACCCTTCTCTTCCAACACAAATACACAAAAAATCAATGCACAGTTATATATTGGCAATGACTATACAAACAACAAAACTCATATTGGATATTTGAGACTACAATTTTTAAAAACTTTAAGTTAATCACAATAGAATAGCTAATAAAGTTATTAGTTGTGCTACCACATCATTAAATACATGATCACATACCAGAATGTCAAAGATGATCCAGGTTACGATTTTAATTTTCAATGTCCTAGCCAACTTAAATTTGACCAAATATTTTAAAATAAAAACAAAAAATACAAAGTTCTCAATGTTAAGATGTCATATTTGGAAAAACACAAAAAAAAGTAAAATAAATTTTTTAATAACAATAAGATATTTTTTTTGGAAGGAAAGATTTAAGTAGCACACCTTGGCAAGAACCTTAGCTTGTCGCACCATCTCATTGGCATCCCCTGTACTGCTGAAAAGCTTGTCTGTTGCATCAAGAATGGTGTCTACAGCACCTTCATGCTCAGAAGGCTGTCCGTATTTCTCTGGAAAACATCGAACGTGATTCAACAAATCATTAAGAGACTGAGTGACATAGGTGGCACTAGTTCCAACTTCTTTTAGCAAGGCCTCATCCTGAACAGCATTCTAGAGCAAAGAGTGATTCATATTTTAACAATATTTATGCACAGCTGTGAATATGCAAAAATAAAATACTTGCAACTGATTCATCAGGTGGAAATCAAAGTTTTATGATAAATACTAAAACATGGTAATAACAAAAACATCTTTAATATGGACGTTTCAGAATTTTCTTAAATTCCAAAACTTTCGTACTAAAGATGTTTTTGGTATCACTGTGTTATTAATATTTATTATGAAATAATATATAAATGCATTATTGTTATGGCTTTAATTAATTTTCTTGTAGGACTATATAAAATGACAAACCTGACAAACTGTAACAACATTCTCTACAGCTTTAGCCACTTCTTTTGCTGCCTCACCAAGTTGTTGTTGACAGGCAGGGTTGTTGATGGTTGGTGCAACCACCTAATTTTGTGAAAGACAGGCTTGTTCATACATTAACAGTGCAATTAAAGTAGAAAATATATATACAAGTGTTTTACTGATTCATTCTATACTGTTGTGTATAACATAAAAAAATGAATGATTAACTAACTTATGATTAATCTATTACCTTGGCACAAGCAACCAGTTGTGAAGTAGCTAATGCACACTGAGTTGCAGAGTTTATCACTCTGTTCTGCAAAGCTGGGTCATCGCATCTACTCGCCACATTTTTAGCTTTCAAAACTAAAGCTGCTGTTGCATTTGCCACTCCTTTGGCAAGGCTCAAAAGGATGTCCTAATGTTAGAGGATATAAAATAATGACGTTAAATTGGTAAAAAAAAAAGGGTTCACTAAATGATCTAATCATTATACTTATACTGGAAACAAGTTTCATTTCAAATCATAAAATAAAAATTATTAGCAGGAATTATTTTCAAATAAAACCTTATTTCATTTTTGAAAAGTAAAATACCTATTAATATCATGTTTATAAAGTTGTTTTTCACATTTACGCTACAGAGAGTTCAACTACCTGGCTTGTGATGCTTCAGATTGTTCCTACTCATATTAATAAATGAATAACAAAACAAAACATTAGATGTCATCAAACATCGTGAGGTTCAAATATGGATAAAAACTAAGGTGATCTAAATATTTTTAAGTTTTCCCCTATACTTGCCAATTATTCAACAATGATGAGAGATACTGGGTACAGCAGTCTGTTGGTCTTAATAAAGTGGTTTATCAATATGTAATTGTTTCTTATCCTACATAAGCTGCATTCTCGGTAATCAATTACAAAGAGATCAACTCTGCTAGCAGGTTTTTCTGTTAAACAAGATCTTGAATACATCTTTTCAAACAGAATAACACATTCCACAAGAGTTTGGTTTTTTATTACAAGACACAGCTTTTACAGTAAGGAAGAATATTTTTTAAAACAGGTACAACGTTTGGATTACTGGTGTGACTATCTCTGTGTACTTGAGTATGATCGCACCAGTGACTGAAATATCATACCTGTTTTATGGAATATTTTTCTTTACTGTAAAAGCTGCAATTTGTATTTAAAAATGCTTATAATCAGTAAGTAAATTAAAAATGAAACTATTAAGAGTTTGGTTTAAGTGCAATGAGCTATCTGCTGTAACTGAAGCAGGGATTGAAATCCCAACTTTAACATTATAAGCCCTCAAGCTTACTTATGAGCCACAATGTGGTTAACAAATATACACTTTATTTCTAGAAAATTTCAGTTTATCAGTTTTAAAAGATACTACCTACACTGTAATTGGACAAAATGTCTTTTCTTTATTCCATTACAAAATATTTAGTTTAAAAATTTAACTGATTTTTTCTTCTTCAAGCACTGGAAGATGTTCGTTTCTACCTGTATATCCTTGTCAACAGCATCTTCTTCACAAATGGTATACAGAACATTGTGGCTTGCCTCTCCTACACGGGTGGCAGCTTGAAGTAGGTTTTGACGAGGCTGTAATTGATTCATATCAGGAATAATTATCATCATTACTTCTGAGTTGCTTATAAATATATATATATATATATATATATATATATTTGTTACTTTTTATTTTTTAATATCAACAAGTATGTCCTGTTTACTACTCAAACTGTTATATCAAATGAGTCAGAATCATTTTCAACACATATGAACATACTTAGTAGAATTGGGTAGCAACTGTCTAGTTCAGAGCGACACTTGAGAAAGTCTTTGAGGTTTAATTTACAAAAGTAGCTCAGGTAGAAAGGACATACTGAAAGACTTCTGTCTTTCATCTTCAGATCAGCTTCTACTGACTTCTGCAGGGGTGTATACAGTTTGTAGGAAAATTGAAGTGGATGTGACACGATTGGCTGGTGGTTCTTGTAACATGGTAAATAGAGCAAGTGACGATTTGACCAATGACCTGAATCTCTGTTTAACTATGGTTTTCTCATATTAATGTAGAAGGATTCACTAATTTTCCAGAATTTATCTGAGTCAATATTTCTAACTATCCCAGTCTATTTTATGTACAGTCAACATGGCAGAATTTTGTGTTTTTATCAGTCTTGTGCAGTCTTTATTTTCTTTTATTTCTTCCTCAAAGTGTTTTCCAGTTTCTCCAACATAGATTCATTTACTGTAGCATGCATGATATTTTGTTTGTTGTCAGATCCGAGTGTTCTGTAAATTTTCCTGCAGACCTGTGTTGAATTGTCAGATCTGAATGTTCTGTAAGATTCCCAGCAGACCTGTGTTGAATTGTCAGATCTGAATGTTCTGTAAGATTTCCAGCAGACCTCAATGTTGAATTGTCAGATCTGAGTGTTCTGTTACACTTTCAGCAGACTTCAATGTTGAATTGTCAGATCTGAGTGTTCTGTAACATTTCCAGCAGACCACAATGTTGAATTGTCAGACCTGAGTGTTCTGTAACATTTCCAGCAGACCTCAATGTTGAATTATTATGGATACTCCTTTTATCTTCTCACTCAGGTTTTGCATCTGTTTTATAAATTTGCATTTTTATGTTTTTCAAGCTATTGGTGAGGAAACAGAATGGGTACCTCTCTAGTTTCTTCACCAATAGCTGACCTGAAGATTAAAGACGGAAAACTTTTGATACATCACCCTTTCCACCTGAATTATTTTCATAGATTAGCCCTTGAAGTCTTTCTCCTCAAGTATCAATCTGAAAAAGGCAGTTACTGCCCATTTCAACTTTGTTTGTTCATCATGAAGACTGTCTAAATCATCCATAAAAGAACATTCATCTTGGTGATTAATACTGATGAAAAAAAAACTGACAAATTCTAGTGACATGGAGGCTATAAAAGAATACTATGTAAACACCTGCTATACTACTTAATTGAACAATTATGTTTTTATCTGGTCTAACCTTACAAATAAAAATCATTCCAAGTCCAAACTAATCCTAACAGGTCAAAATTTTTTCTTTGTGATTAATTGCAGTAAGAGCTATATGGAAAAATTAAACAGTAAAACTGATATTAACAGTTTACTCATGTTAAGTGTAATAGATATTTAACTCTTTTGTATAATCTTTGAAGAAAGAGAATGTGTAAAAAACACGGCACATTAGCATCTCCAATATCTGTGACCTAGTACCTTGGTTACCTATAAATGTTACTACACAACATATCTGTTCTACCTCTTTGCTATCAGGCTCAGCAGCTTTTAGAAGATCATAAAAGGCCAGACAAAGGTTTCTTGCAGCATCAAGTAAGTTATCTCCTTGACTTTCATCCATCAGTGCAGCCATAACTTTTACATCTTTCGACATTTCCGGAAGATTAGTAGTACTGTAACAATGCATCAATCGTTATACACAATTTAAAACTGAGCAACTTGAGAGAAATTTTATTGACACATACAAACACAACTAAATGCTTTACACCATTCCCACATACTGTTTTATTATAAATAATTTCTAAACTAATTTTATATTTTAAGTGAATTGAACCATGCAGCATGTTATTCAGAACAAATCACCACTTTTGCTCAGTGGTTAAATTGAGATTCTGAAAGAGGTGAAACTCCTTCTTGTAACTCATTTTGACATTCCACTCAGAAGATCAGGAACTGTAATGGCTTGAATCCTCAAGCAGTGGAACATCATTACGGATCATTCTGTCCAAACTTACCCCTGCTTAAACCCCTCCAGAAAGGATAATATTAAGTGTATTACCACATATTTTGAAGACTCTTAGTCTAGCATGAATCAAAGAGAGTTGCACCACAGCTATCTTTCTTTTTGAAGATGGCCTCAGGTTGGGTGATGTTTATGTAACCGTGTTGAGGATGGCCTCAGGTTGGGTGATATATATATATATATCATGGTGTTGAAGATACCCTCAGGTTGGGTGATGTATGTATATATAATGGTGTTTATAACATCAATACAAAACCTATAACCTGAGCACTTTCAAAAGATAGGCCTTCCTTCATTGGGGGAAACTGTTTGCCTCTGATAAAGAAAGGTCCCTTTTTGAAAATGCTTGGGTTGTAAGGATTTGTATTTTTGTGTTAAGTTTATTTTTTTGAATCTATATGTTTTACTAGCATTATGATGATGTTTATAACAAGCTCTACATTGCACGATCAGAAACACCATTCTGTGACATTTTCTTATACAATATCATGAAAACTTCCAATTATAAACTGTATCATTTATAATTGATAAACTGGCAAAGGACGACTTGAGTCACAATGTGTGTATGGCTTGCGAAAAAAGTTCAGTTAAACTGCTAAATGTCTTTTCTTACTGGTAAGCTTATCCAAACCAATACAAATAAAAATGAGATATTTAAATATTTTAAACCTAATGTGATACGGCCTAACCCTGAAACTTACTTTAAGGTACTTAAGACATCGGAATAAGTTCCTGCAGAATGTTAAGTCACTTGTATGTTAGTATCAGAGACAATAAGATGACTGTTCTAAATGGAAAAAAAGAAAAATACTTACATGATGTTGATAGCTGTACCAACTCCTGTGTGATCAACATCTTCTGGTGAGCCTAGAAATAAACTAGTGATTTAAGTTCAAAACTGTTTACAATTTAAGTTTACAATTCAGTAAACAAAGAAAGAACCATTTTATGAAATATATTCAAAAACTAATAATTCCCAAAACACCTGTGTAAGTAATTTTGTTTTATACTGTCCTTGTTTTAAGCCTCTTGACACTTGACTGATCATTTTATCCTTTAAATCATAAAGAAGTGGTGTTTGAGAGACAGCTAATGAATAGAACTAGAAACCTAAATAACATAAATCAAAATTGACACACACAATTTCTATATTAATAATTTCTAATTATTTAATTTGTACATATTTTGGGATAAAGATTCTGTAGCTAATTAAGAGGGGATGAGTTCTTTCCATACAAACTATCAAATTCTGTTTATTCAACACTTTACAAGTTAATATATCTAGCTTATGAATACTGTTCAATCAGTCAGTCGGACAAATTTCTGAATATTAAAAAAAACTCAAGACATTCCTTATAATTTAATGTTAGATCTAGATGTACCAGCAACTTAATCCAGGAACTGTAATGAAGCCTAAAGAGGTAAGTCCTATGTCTAATTTAAAACCAATTTTCAGTTAGATGACTTTTCATTTCAGCTTAATTTTTAGTAGTATTTTAATATCAAATCTTTTTTAACTCACCAGAGGTCAGAGTGATAACCTGGGCAGTGGCAGCATTCATTGCTCCAAGATGAGAAGACACACTTTGCTTTTTGACATCAAAGGTATTCTGTCTCCACTGCAGTGAAGTAGGATCTGTTCCCAACTCTGGAAGATCTGCTTTTATCTGCAGTTCTTTCTGAGCCAAGTCCACAGCATCTCGTCCTGCATCAATTGAGCTCAACAGGGCTCGCTGGGGTTCTGTCAATGTGCTGTGTACCTTCGGATGTTGGGGCTGAAAAACAGGATAAAATATGTTAACCCTCTCACTACAAGCTCAGTCAATTCAACCTAAAAACTTAACCCCAAATTGACCTTTAGAGTTTCCATACTATAATTTCTTGTATTCTTTTTTTTTGTATTGTCGTGAAATTTTGCATGCTTTCACTAAGTACACAAAAAATCACAAATATTAATGGAGTATTTTAAGAAAAACGTGATTTTCACATTAAAATTTAAGATATTTTTTTATCTGAAAATTCTCAAATTTCATTGGTGTAATTCTTTTTGACTAGTCCATGTGCACAGTGATTTTCATGATAAGATTAAAAATACTTTTCTTCATCTCAAAATTCTCCAATTTCATTGCCGTAATCTCTAAAACCTCTTAAATAAATTTCAAACCTTTTTTTTCAGTAAAACTTTATATCTTATCTGTTATTTTCTCTACCTTAACTCTATACAAGGTTGGTCAATCTGACCGACCTCATAACCACCCTAAAAAAATATAAAATAAATCTAAATTAGCCTTCTTTATATCTAGAATGACTTCAAGCTGTAATATGAAATTACATTTGTTTATGCTAAATAGCTTTAAATTAATAACAGTATTCATCTTTTTCTATTTTAATTTTATTTTTTATTCCCCTTTGAACTAATATTCCCACCACACAACTTATAAATAACTTTGAAAATGTATAGCTCAAGTTATCCTATCGAATTACATCATGCACGGGCTACTGGTGTGTTGCTCATGAGTGTACCTTGTTTTTATTATATTACTATTATTATTTACCTAAATTAAAATTAACTAATCTAAAAGAGTTTATTATTTTTATGATTTAGTTACTTTTATAATAATAAATAAAAAATACACATGAAAAACAAGAAATAAAGTACTTACCTGGGCCTTCTTTTTTTTGCTGTCAACACTTAAGCCTACTTTTTATATTGATGGTAGTATTACACTAACTATTTGTTATTGAATTAAATAATGCACCAAAGAACACAGAATAATAACATGCAAAAAGCAGACAATGTCCTATAACTATCAAAATTTTTTGGTTTTCTAACTATGCATTAAAAATTCAGCCAAGCTTGTCGATGTGTTTCCCACGTGAATAAAGTCAAGACAATTTTCTGTACATAAAACAATGTAATATAATACGAATAAAACTTTGACTTTCTATTGGTTATAAATAACATAGTATTAAACAACAGGGAGAACCACTGGTAATTTGTGAAAGAGAGAATGAAACAGGTGGGCATAGCATGAGAGGTCTGCTTTTCTAGTTTATGGCTCTGTAGCCAAATAAAACTGAAGGCTATAAAAATTATGTTTTGGCTGGGCAATGACAACATTATAGTGAGTAATGTACGTTAAATTTCATGCTTCTTGGAGGGGTAGTAAATAAATTAGAGAAGTGGGGATACCTAGAGAGCAATTGTCATACTAAGGGAATTTGAGGATTTTTTTAAATATTACCTTATAAAACTCAGAATGTAAAAGTTCAATAATATTAAAATTTGGATTATTATCCATGTTTTCATGGCAAGTTTCAAAGAATTTTAATTCACTAACATAAAAAACTGGTACACTAATAATAAGCAAAACAAAACTTTTTCATACAGAGACAGGTATGGAGCTGTTCAGATGTTTCCTTAAAAGTTAAGTTTTGATTTAGATTTTACTCAAAATATTCAGACATTGTTTTTAAAATTCAGAATTTTTAACTGTAAAAAAATTTAATTATTTCAGAACTCAGACAGTTTACAAAAAGAGATTTGCCTAACGGAAGAGAATGATAGAATAAAAATATTTTTATTAGACAAAATTAAGTGATTAGAGAATTAAATTACTTTATCGTCAGTCAAACATGTAACACATTGATATTTGGCTCTTAAGCTTTTGACAATAAACAAATACCTTGTATAATATATACTGCATGCATTTTTCAATTACTTATGAGTGAAATACTTACCGTAGTAGGTGCGTAAGCACTATGGGCTTGTCCTTTTATTTCTCCATAAAGAACTCCTTGCATGTGACCTGTGCTGTAGTTCTGAGCCCCTAGAAATATTTAAGAAAAGTGAAAACTGTCTATTTCTAATAAGTGGTAAAATTATCTTTATCCAAAACACATATGCAAATGAAATATATAATTGAAATTTATTGTTTTGTTTTTTTACTTTTAACAGTATATAAATGGGACTCTACAATTAATGAGATTATAAAAGACACAACAAACAAAATATTGATAGAGATTCTCTGTTCATGCCATGTCACATAAAAGGATTTGTTAAGGACTGTTCAATTAACTTTATGCTGTAAGATGTAAAGCAAAAAACTGTCAATAATTATAAATAAATAGATGTGTATCAACCAGATCTTTTTTTTTCATTAAAATCGAAGCTAGATACTTAGAACATTTGATTTTTTTCAAGGTATTTTCTTACCATCTGCTCCACTTCTCATAACAGCAGGAATTGCAATTGAACCTGAGCTGGCATGTGATAGCTTTGCTGCTGGGGTATGTTGTAGAATTGTGGCCCTAAATATCACAAACAAAAGAAATTATTAAACATTAATAACAACAATGGTTCTAAATACCAACAACAAAGGAAACTATTAAACATTCATAACAACAATGGTCCTAAATACCAACAACAAAGGAAACTATTAAACATTCATAACAACACTGGTTCTAAATACCAACAACAAAAGAAATTATTAAACATTAATAACAACAATGGTCCTAAATACCAACAACAAAAGAAACTATTAAACATTCATAACAACAATGGTCCTAAATACCAACAACAAAAGAAATTATTAAACATTAATAACAACAATGGTCCTAAATACCAACAACAAATTAAATTATTAAACATTAATAACAACAATGGTTCTAAATACCAACAACAAAGGAAACTATTAAACATTCATAACAACAATGGTCCTAAATACCAACAACAAAGGAAACTATTAAACATTAATAACAACAATGGTCCTAAATACCAACAACAAAAGAAACTATTAAACATTCATAACAACATTACAGGTACTTCTTGTATACACTTTACAAATGTACTCTCATTAAAATTGTTCTAATTAAAACGTGGTTAAAACTGAGTAGCAAAATGGAGAAACAAAAGCACACACATACACAGAAAAGGTTGAACTCATGGCCAATTTAACTATGACTAAATGTCTTATAATGTTACACAGTTTTAGGTTCTTTACGTAGTTTTAAATATATATTTGAATGCTGTAGCATGATATTAAGATAACGATATAAAAAAAGTGACAGTCTCTACTGGTGACTTTTATAAACCACAATTTCATTGGGATTTTTATTCTGGGAAAATTGAAATATTTTATTTTAATAATTTTTTTTAAGTATATTTATCAAATAACTTCTCTATTTCTCTGAATCTCCATTTGTGAACCTACGAGCTTAGGTTCAGGAATTTTTTAAAACACAAAAGAAAAACTTTTCAATCCTTCAACAGGTGAAAACTAGAAAGTATTCAAAACAATCAAATACATTTTTCTTGGAACTCCTGGCTAATCACTGGTGAAACAACAAACAGAAAAGAGCATCTAAAACAATAACAATGTATTCTATTTTGACCCAATAAACTATAAAAAGAATACAAACAGCTTTGAATGGTGATCACTTTCTACTTTAAGAAAGAAAAGAAAAGAGTAGCTTCATTACATCTTCTTTTGTAAATCCTGGTTTATAATTGGGTATTTCTAAAACCAATAAAATATTTTATCTATCTGCAGCAAATAAAAAGGACTCTTGGTCAAAGCTTCACATGGATATTTAAGCACATAAAACAGATGTATTTATATACACAAAACACATGTATTTGTACACATAAAACACAGATACTTGTATACATAAAACACACATAGAAATAAAAATTATATTTTAAATACACATTTTTCCTTTTGATTCACAAGTTACATATTATATTAATTTTTTCTCTTGACTTTTTAAAGTACTAACCTTGACCTCTCCTGCTTTCAGCATGCACGTAAAACAAATCATTCTGATTAGGATAATAATAACACCAAGATACAGATATTTTCTACCATTTTAAAGCCACAGCTGTTAATGTTATTATTCTAGGGAAAGTTTCACTATGCTTAAAAAATGCATAAACCAAAAACACACAAATATCAGAAACATGCAATGTTACCCTTTAGAGAACTTTCAGAGTAACAAATCGACTTCTCATTCTTAATGCCTTATTAGAACAGTTATTCAAACCACGTGCATGTTCAGGCAATCAAAAAGTGATACAAAATCAATTTTTCATTTCATTGGACAATACCTTTTTTAATCTGTTTTCTTAACTCAAAATGCGACAACAGTGCATAGTTTAGATTGTACATAATCCTAAAACATGAAGCATTTTAGGTTAGACACATGAAAAAATAAAAATAAGACTTAATAATCTGTATCTCCTCATTAACCAACTGGCATATTATACATTTTTGGGAAAATAATACAAAAATTATAGCAAAATTCCCATTTCTTAATTCTCATGCTTTATTTTGCGTAACACGTCGCTATATTACAATATGTTTGCTAGTGTAAAATGTCCTTTAGAGTTTGAACATTACAAGTTTCACAGTGAAGGATGAGAATGAATTTTATGTGGTATATTCACTACAAATTATTTCCAGAAATTCATAAGATATGTTTTAAAATCAGAAAAAATCACTTCTGAGATGCTCTTATAATAGCAGTTTAAGTTTTACAATTCAAGCATTCCTCCAACTTATCACATGATGGGTCATAATTCCAACTTTAAAACTCCCAGGGCTGTGTTTTCATCAAAATAAATTTATAAGGGGAGTTTCTGATATCAGTATTTAACTCTGTCTATATGGGCTTAGTCACTTTGACCAACCTGGCAACCAGGTGGCATGAAACTATACATACTATAATTTTTAATGTAGTAGGCATATCTTGATGAAATTCGTCAAGCTTTTACTAAACATAAGTATTTTGTACATAAAATAAAATAAATTGTAATTATGTATTTTTACTTAAGATCTGTTTGTGAATATATGAAGTCAGAGTGACTCCGAGTGTTACTCAGACTCTAATTATTTTAATTTTAAGATTAAAAACACTTTTTTTTCATCTTAATGTTTTCAAAGTCCATAAGTTGCATAACCTCTAGAACCTCCTATATGAATATCAAGTTTTTAGGCAATAAAACTTTATATACTATCCATTATTTTCTCTACCCTAACTCTAAACGGACTTGGATGATTGGACCAACTTTATAACCATCACAAAAAAATATGAAATAATTCTTGCTTACCCCCTTTTTTTTTGGATGACTAAAGCTTGTAACATAAAATTACAATTATTTATCTTAAACAGTTAAGGTTTGTTTGTAATTAAATACAAAGCTATACTGTGGGCTATTCATGCTGTGTCCACCACAGGTATCAAATCCCAATTTTTGGCACTACAAGACCACAGAGCCTTAAGGCTCATAACAGTTTAAATATTATTATTTAATTTTATTGTTTTATTGCTCTTTGAGCAGTGTATATCTAACAATCCAGTAATACAAGCTGTAAATTAAACTGTGAATGTGTAGCTCAAGTTAGTGTATTGATTGACACAATACATATTACAAGCTACTTTCGAGTATACCTCATAGAGAAATTTTCATATTATTACTTTTTCATCATCTAATACAAAAAAAATTCAAATTTTTTACATTTTAGTTACTTTTATAAAAAATAAAAAATGTACATAAGAAACAAGAAATTAGTACTTACATTTGGCTTTTTTTTTTTTATCTGTCTCCTGATGAAACTTAAGCCTAATCTTTTTTTTTATAAATATAGCAATAGTACATCAAATAATTTTTATTCATTTCAAATATTCACTTCAAAACACAAAATAATAAAACACAAAAAGAAAACACTGCTCTCTAATTATTGTAATATAACTGGCTTTCTAACTAAGACATAAGTGCTTTAAAGTAATTCCATTAGCTGTTCAATCGGAACTCAACAACAGTGACTTTCAATCTGTAGGAAAAATAACTAAAAATCTTTACTGAGAACAAGCTTTGATGGTACATCATTTGTCAAATTAAAACTTTGTCTTTTTCTTGGTTATAAACGAGGTAATACAAAATATCAGAGAAAATTATTGACAATTTGTGAAAAAAAAAGGACCTGATAGGATGGCATGGCAAGCAAGTTTAACCTCCATAAACAAAGAAGGTTGAAGGCTATAAAATTAGAAAATGCTTTAGTAATATCTATACCATACTCAGGACATCATAGAAAGGTGATGAAAAAATATAAACGTTGGAGTGAACAAATGACACCTTACACAGACAAGCGGAGACTGAGAATGTATTTAAACATTTCCTTTTAAATTTGAAATTAAAACTTATATAATACTAAAAACCCTATTTATTAGCTACATTTTTATTTCAAGTTTATTTGTATAAAATGATAATATATAGAGTAGTTTAATTAAATTCTGAATGTAACTGTAAAATCATGATATGCACACTTTGACCTTTCAGTATCAAACATGTTAATGATTTGAATTACCCCAATATTTGAAGTTTTATATAAGATTATTTAAACATACAAGAACTAGTTGTTTTTTTATAAAGCTCATTTAATAATGGTTTCATGCACATATCAAATTTTAACGACAACACGAGTAAGCTTTCACTTACACACACATACACACATACTTTATAAAAAGCATCAATTGCAACAACAACATGAGTGAGCATAAAACACACTTTATAGGAGCATAAAATACAAAAATAAACATGAGGCTTTCTCAATTTACACCCATTTTTAGTTCAAGAAAACTCTGATAAAGATAAGTAAGTAATAAGGTTTTTATTATAAAAAAAAAGAAATAAAATTACATAACTCCATAAGATAAGCCTTTACAAAAGTACAGTACTACATAACATTATTAAGGTTAGAATAAACCAAGGTCACCAAGTATTTCAGATAATTAAATAAGTAGCAATTCACATGTACTCACTTTGCAGGAGAAACACTGTCCTCCACCATTGTAGAACCCTCATCTCCTTCAATACCAAAGTGGTCTTTAGATTTTTGCTGAAGACAAAAAACAACTATCAGATACTCTTATGTATCTGAGCAATTATGCAAATATGCTGCATGTCATGGATATGTTATTATCAAACAAAATTATCAGCACTATACTTCATTAGCTGTCATATCCCTTTATTTCATGGTTACAAACAATAAGCCAGCATTAAGGAAATGGCTAGGTTAGTGAGCTTTTTCAACGTTGACTCCGAGACCATAAAGATAAGCAAACTACTTCAGATACAACAAAAAGTCTTTTATTTTCCATCAAACGTGAAACAATTTGAGCATTTTTACAAAATGGATATGAATTGGGCTGACTTTGAACTTTAAAGTCATAAATTCATGACCATGAATGAAAATGATACAATGTTTATATTGGTGGAGTGTATAAAATAAACCAAACTTAAAATTTTTAGTTTCGAACAGGATTTACTCAGGATACCACATCACTATATACTAAGAATATTAGTAAAAAAATGTTTTGAAGCATAAAAGAAAATGGTTGAACAAATACAAAATAACAATAATATATATATTTATTTAGAAATAAAAAACTCTTCTCTCTCTTGTAGCAAAAACTTGAAACAATATTTAAACAAGATAAGAGTAATATCTTCAAAATAAAAAGTTCTTACCTTTTTCAAAATAATATCTATATACCCTGCAATAAGTTGAGAGATCTGCTCACCCTCTGTTGTCTGAACAGAGTAGTATGAATCAGAATAGTCACCAAAGTCCTTGACAGAAATAAAAAAAAACATGGAAAGCCCTTTTAATGTACTGAAGAACAAATCAGTGTGTGTTCTTTCAAAGTTTAATTCTAGACTATAAACTTTATCAACCACCACTAGACTTTTAGAACTTTAATAATACAAGATGGATTGTTGACTAATTCTAAAGCATTCTAAAGTGTATCATACACTTATTTTAAAACTTCAATAATACAAGATATTTTGTTGACTAATTCTAAAGCAATAATAAACTTTTATTAAAACCTCAGTAATACAAGATGTATTGTTGACTAATTCTAAAGCAATGATACACTTTTATTAAAACTTTAATAATACAAGATATATTGTTGACTAATTCTAAACCAATGATACACTTTTATTAAAACTTCAATAATACAAAACGTTTTGTTGACTAATTCTAAACCAATGATACTTTTGAAAAGAACAGCTAAACCCCCAATATCCACTGACACACCATCCCTAGAAACTTGTAAACTCACCAGTGTGAAACTGTTTGGTGATGCTGCCCATCTTCTAACTGTAGTCAATGGCCAAGTCTTTAATATCTAAAAGGAACAATGTTGAAAGAATAGTAGAAAGGATAAACAACTTGGAAAAGTTTGTTTTATAATCTGTTTTAAAACTAGCGTTTTTTATAAATTATTGGGAATTATGATAATTTGATTTTTTTCAAATACTACTTTATCAATAATTCATATCATTAAGCAATGCTCATTTCAATTATTACTAATATAATATTTCATTTCACCCTACCTCTTTCGTCTTTTCATCTAATCTTAAAACACTGTCCTTTGTAACTCCAAGCAACCGAGGTACCAATTTGTTTTTGCCCTTCATTTTTTCCTGAAAGTAGTGAAAAACATTTTATAGTTTGTGGATGAAAGAAACCTCAGTCAAACTAAAGTGAAATTTATGATATATCTAAACAATGAGTCTAAGAAAAAACGAACTACAAAAGTCTGTACATTTGATAATAATAACAATAGCAATGTAAACTTGGTTTACAGACGACATTACAGTCATGATCACTTCTACATCACAAAACTTGAGAATATACAAAATACCAGTGAAAGAACTGATGCTGAAACATCTTCTTCATGGTAGAAAATAAAAGTAATAAAAACAACTGCTTACCTTGACCAAAAAGAATGTAACGCCATATGTTCTAAGGGAACGGGCAAGTGACACATATTTGACCTTGGCCTCAATTTCACTTAGGTGCAGGCATGTTTTATGTTCCTAAATAGAAAATACATTATTATTAGTGTAAATCATGTATAATCAGTTTAATGAAAAACACATCATTATTAGTGTAAATCATGTATTATCAGTTTAATGAAAAACACATCATTATTAGTGTAAATCATGTATAATCAGTTTACTAAAATACATCATTATTAGTTTAAATCATGTATAATCAGTTTACTGGAAAATACATTATTATAAATGTAAATCATGTATCATTGGTTTACTGAGAAATACATGGATAAATTTACCAATACAACTAATACAGTGACATTATATATAATAAACTATATAACTGTAGTAACATACATGGATAAATTTTACAATACAACTAATACAGTGACATTATATATAATAAACTATATAACTATAGTAAAATACATGGATAAATTTAACAATACAACTAATACAGTGACATTATATATAATAAACTATATAAATATAGTAAAATACATGGATAAATTTAACAATACAACTAAAACAGCAACATTATATATAATAAACTATATAACTATAGTAAAATACATTAATAGATTTACCAATACAACTAATACAATGACATTATATATAATAAACTATATAACTGTAGTAACATACATGGATAAATTTTACAATACAACTAATACAGTGACATTATATATAATAAACTATATAACTATAGTAAAATACATGGATAAATTTACAATACAACTAATACAGTGACATTATATATAATAAACTATATAACTATAGTAAAATACATGGATAAATTTATAATTTTTCCTTGTGCTAAGTATTTTGAAAAATATTATTCTTAATATTAAACATTACTGTAATACTTCAATTCATTCATACGTAAATGTGTGTTTAGCCTTCACTACAAAGAAAAAATGCTCCTCTTACCTCTGTCCTGCACATTCTGAATTAAGCCATCTATTAAACTTTTTTACACAATTTCTATTCAATCCTCAACATCACTTTAAACTTTTTCAAGTTCAAAACACTAAAAATAAAGGAAGACATGATTCAAGATTCATACCACAAATATGTTCTTTTCAATTCCTTTTACTTTCCAGTAATCTTTTGGCAAAAACTCCTTGATGCTGCAAAGAGAATACAATAATTATATAGAAATCACCCCCACAGCATGAGTACCAATATGATTACCATTTTTGTAAAATCTTATTTCATTCTTATCTCTATTGTTTGAAGCAATAAATGGTAATACACACACATTTAAAGCATATATTCAATACTAATTATAAACTTTTTTCTATACATTAATAGTCACAAGTAACACTTTTTTTTCAAAACTGAGTAGTGCTCTTTATATAGACTAAGAGGGACAATTAAGTTTATGAATTAAATAATCTCAGTGTACAATATATCATGATACACAAAGCTGTTACTACACAAATTAGCATCTACTCTACTAGTGTAAGGCTTAGTGATTATGTGGATGTGTCTATCAATGTAACACTAAATATATGGAAAGTGCTGGACAAATGCCAAACATTCACAAGTGAAGTACAAAATAAATTTCAGTTTCATTTATCATAGTAAAATATTTACTTAGCATTTACTGGATACCATTCAAAATTAACCTAAATCTCAAGAGAAAAGCAATGCGTGTCGGATTCTGAGATCCAATTTATTGCAATACAATTGGGAGTAAACATCTATATTATGTACAGAAAAACATTTTTTACCTAAGCCAGTTTTGTACTTTTTTAAATAATGTCTCAAGAAATTTCATGAAAATTATTTTCATATGTATATTTAAATTACATGTTCCTCTTAAAGTAAATTTACATTTATTTCCTAAAATTAAATTAATAAGTTTGAAATTTGCAACACCAGACCACATGAAATCTGGCAATGAAATAAATTTTGTAAATATTTAACCTTACTGTCATTCAAGGGTACAAAATATTTTACATTTTTACATCTTTTTCACAATCACAAGTCTTTTAAAATACTTAAAATATACATTGGTTCCAATTAATATAATAGTGTTGGTTATTAAGCTTCAAATTTATGATTACATCTTTAAATTTATTTTACTAATTACTCAAACAAAAAACAACTTTGTGCATGTTTTAATTTTTAAATTCCTCTTTATATCTAACTTTCTATCAACTTCCTTAAGAAAAAAAAATATTTATTAATATGCTATAAGCAAATCCCTTCGAAAGGACTAATTTTTTAAAATCATTTTTAACTTTTAAGCCATCTGGCTTTATTAACATACTCAAGAAAACCGGGCTTGTGTTTCAGTTCACTGTGATCCCCAAACTGAATCTGACATTGAATTCCTGCAAACTTGCATGCCTGTTCATATGTGACTGGATGTGTTCCATTAAGAATTGCATCTCGTGCCTTAAAAGTAATAAAACATAATTAGAAAAAAGAAATCTCTCTCTCCTTGAAGAATTTATAACAATTTTTATGCTAATGTGATTTGTAGCTAATATTAAGACACTTATCATAAAAATCAAACTCTGAAGCTCTTTTTTTTTTTACATAGACTATTAATACCATAAATGATACACACAAAAGTAAAAAATACTGCTGTAAACAATCTTTCTGAGTTCTTAAAATTGGTTTTGAAACATTTTTTTACATTACTTTGTATCAGCAAGGCATTATTATTCCTGTTCACCTCATCTATACATTTCAAGTTGTTAACACACAAAATCAAATGCTACCTGTCAGTAAACAGTAAAATGAACATTTACATTCAACCAGTTATTAAAACATAACATTTAAACATTTTACACAAGAACTTTAAACTACCACACGATAGTAAAGACTAAACAGATACTTGTTTAGATAATCAATGCACAAAATCTGTTTTTATACAACATATAGTTTACGAACATATATATATAAAAACACACACACATACCTGTACATACAACAAATTCAACTGAACAGGATCTCTTGAGTCAACATTCTGGTCAGAAAAGAAAAACTTTCGTCGTAGCAAGAGAGTTTCTTCCTCATTTATACCTTGCTCCCTCAAAGTCTTTGAATGGTCAACCCAGTTTACTATGTTAACAAAAAAGGAGGGGGGAACAACAACTTAAACAAAAAGCTAAAATGTTGGACAGGAATTGAGAATAATTCTACAAATTTCTATTACTTTTTCCTTAAAGCAGAAATAACACAAACTGATCTTAAGACAGATAAT